AGCAGTAAAAACATATAACTAAGTTGTAGTCATTTTCAAACATGCTTTTCAAAAGGATAACAGCTATTTCATAATTTTTTATTCAAGTCAAATTTAAAAATAACATAACTTTTTCACTATAATCCCAGAATACCACAAGGAGATATAGATTTTTTATTCCAAAACTTTAGGTACTATTAGAAATCTGTCACCTTATCTCGTAATCGGATTACTCTGAATCAAACGTGAGAATCAAATACCCATCATCAAAATTTCAGGGAAAATTTGTGGATTCTCTTCAACCATACTCCCTCTAAAGGTAAGTGAAGAAAAAGAGCACCTTTATGAAGGTATGACATCCAACTAAGAACAAAAGTTATAAACAACTTGGGAAAAGTCCATTTCATAGAGACCCAAGGCTTCATAAAAGATTAAAAGGGGGTTTTGGACTGAGAGCCATGTAACCACTGCCAGCAATGGCGTCTTTATTGCATTTTTTTTTTATTTCCATAGGGAGGTTAAGCAATGATTTTACTATCTTTTTCATTTCTTGCATCAGTTCCAATGGAATCTTGTGGCTTAGTATCCTGAAACAACCCCATTCTTTACATGTTTTTCTTAGTTTCTTATACTCCTAGAAAATCCAACATAATTGAGAAAATCGATCAAGCCAACCAAATTAAATTGGTTCGGTTAATTTTAGATACCTATACCTTGGCAAGTCGATCAATCTGGTTATTCTCAAATTAAATCAGTTAAGTAAGATTTTAGAAATTAATCAACCGAAAAAATGAATCAAACCATTTGCTTAGAACCTTTACTTTGCACAACCATGAACCATCATTTTTTTTTTCATAAAGAAAATCACACTAGATTTATTGTATTCAAAGAATCAACCTCATTACAAATGGTCTAATAAAGTAACAAAGAATGAAATCAGATAAAAAAAAAAGAGAGAAAACAAATGATATATCAAAAACCAATTGCAACTTTAGAAACACCTACAAAGAATCCAACAATAGTGTCCAAGGGTTAAGAATGCCACGACCAAAGCCACCAAAAAAGCCTGCAAGATACTAACTCGAGCCAATCTTGAAAGAGAATAGGTGAGATTTTTGGAAATTGTGAGAGATTTTTTTCATTGGTTTTTTTTTTTTTACATAAGATAGACATAATCCATGGAAAAAGAAAAAGAGTCTTAGTCAAAACTTAAGCTCTTTAGCTACTAACCACAAAGTCAATGACTATTTTTTTTTTCAACTATCAAATTTTCAAGTACCCATTACTAATCTAAAAAAACTTAGAATCACATACTATAATACAAAAACCCATAACTAAACCACAAAAAATTTTATATTAAAACTTGTGTAAAAATTACAACACATTAAATTTCTAATTCTCTTGTACTATGAATAAAGATGTTAAAAAGGAAATGAAAGCTACAGTTAGAGGGATAAAGTAGATACTAAAAAAGAATAGTTGAATTAATTTTTTAATTATTATTTTGAAATTTTTAGAGGCTTTTGAGTGACGGATCAATATAATCAAACAACTAAATCTGTGAGGCACACCCAACCTTTCGTTTAAATATATCTTTAATTGTAAACTATCGGTAATGTTTAATCTTGATTTGTATAAAATAAACATTTAATCTGGAAACGAGTAATACCCTAAAAATTTAGTTCTAAATTGAACATTTAATCTTTAATAAATTATAAGTTGTGTCAAATGGGTTGGTTTCCTGTAATATGACCCATTTTCGATGTATATTTATTTTTAATTAGATTAAGCATTTCAAATTCATAAATTTCACATATTATATTAATTTTAATTTTTGTAAGTATTCATTGTTTTTTATATAAAAAAATATTAGTAGAAAGTAAAATATTAAACTTTAAAATTTTAATTTTAATTTTTTCATATTTTATTAATTAATTATTTTTTAAAAAATAAATTTTCATATTTTTATCATAAAACTTAATTAAAATGATAAAAATATAAAAATTAAAATTATTTTATTTTATTTTTATTTTAATTGTTTTAAAGACTTTTCACATTCTATTAAGCATTGAATTTAAGTAAAATATAAGGACACGAAAAGTTACAATATGTTATTATATTAATTTTAATATTTTATTTATTTATTGATTTATTTGTAACTTTTACTCTTTCACATTTAATTTATAAATAGGTTTGTTGTGATGGAATATAATGAAGATTTTGCTCTAACAATACAGAAATTTTTTTTTTATGAGTTTCATAGTGTTGTTATAATTAGGGTTGGGGTTAGGATTTATGATCAATGGAGGCAAATATTTAAGTTTATATAAAATTTTTTCATTAAATACAATTTAATTTTAAAAATTATAAATAAAATTAGCATGTATAACATTTTTTTGTATATGAAAAAGTTTTTTTTGTAATAAAAATAATATTTGCATAATTAAAATTAATTATATGATTTTTTACGAACATAACTTGAACACTATTTAAATAAATTATCTTTCATAAAAGACACACATATATAATAATTTAATAAAATTTTACTTACAAAATTCTTAAAGATGGATGTAACATGTGAAAGAATGAAATAAAAATTGACATGTCTAATTTTATTATTTACTTTTAATATGTTTGGTTTTATCATTCACTTTTAATAAATAAATATATTTAATTTCTTATTCATATTTGGAGAATAAGAAATGATTTTTTTTCTTGCATAAAAAAATGGAGACATAAATCTATATTAGTTAAAAATGATTTTTTATTTTTATTTTTATTATGTCATGTTTTATATGTTATTTTTTTATGTTAAAAAGTGGTTAAAACCTTTTAAGTAGTGCAAGCTCAAAGTCTCATTACAACTACAATATCACCTTCAAATTATTATGAGGAATTAGAAGTTTAACAATTTCAAATTTTCTAAAAGTAATTTACTTCAATTTTTACCAACTCGAAAAATATATATAAGTATATATATTACAATGAAATTGTTTAGCACTTAGAGTATCACTATTCATTTACTAGATAAACAATAAATTTTTTTTTTTTGTATAAGCCTAAATTTAGTAAGGATAAATATCAACAAAAAGATTTTCAATGAAAGCAAAACTTTTGAGATTTTTTTATAATAAATCCAAAAAATTTTAAAAACTAAGTAATGCAGGTTTCCTTTCGTGCTCATACATAGATCCCGTCTTAGTTATAATTAGATTGATCTTGATGTTTTTTTTTTTTTAATTTTTTCAATATGATTGTTATTTTAATTTTTTATATATCTTAATTTTATTTACTTTTATATTTTTATTCCATTAAAATATAGCACAAGTAATTTAAAAAAAAAAAACTTTGCATACTTTAAAAATATGAGTATCGCTAAATGTACTCCAACCTTTTTTTTCACACCTCATTTTTTTTTAAATTTTTTTAAGTGAAATTACTTAATTACATTTTCTCTTTTATGCAAATTTTTGGAAATAAATTTTCAAAAAGTTATAAAATTTTCCACAAATAAATTTTCAGAATATTATAAACCTTTCCAGAAATGAATTTTTAAAAAATAAAATTTTCGAAAAAGTTTATGACTTTCTGAAAATCCATTTTTGAAAAATTATAGAACTCCAAAAAGTTATGGGAAAGGTAATTAAATAATTTCACTTATAAAAATTTTGAAAAAAAATGTTGAGGTGTGAAGAGAAAAAATAAAGGTGCATTTAGCAGCATTCAAAAAACATAGTAATACTCATAAAAGTAAATTACATAAAACCCATAAAATTTGATCGTAATTTACATCAGTCCTCTAGTATGAGAAGGGGTGTTCTAAACACAACCAAATTTTTTCTATACACCCATAAGATTTTTTTTCAAAAATACCTACACATCAAATACCAACTTTAACCTTTAATAAATAACAAAAATACTCTTAATAGCTTACACACCCAAAAATCATCTTGTATATTTCAAAAATGGATTTTCGATCGAAAATTCATTTATGAAAAAGTAACATAATTTTAAAAAATGGATTACTTAGAATAAAACACACCCTTCGAAAATCCATTTTGAGAATTTTTTGAATTCTCAAAAATTGATTTTTGAGAGTTATCTGTATTCTTGGAAATTTGTTTATGAGAATACATAAATTTTTTAAAATATATATTTAATATTAAACTCTTGATAACTGAAAAATTGAGATCTCTAATCTTGGAACTACTTAAAAATGTCATTAGCAGATTGACAAATTTGACAATAAAGACTAGTGATCGAAAGATTATATACTATCAAATTTGTTAATCCACTGATGACATTGTCAACAACAATGTTTTACAAGGTATTCAAGCTTCGACTAGCATGTGTGCACACACATGAGTTATTGATATGCTTATTCTTATTTGATTATATGTGTGAATGGAAGAGAGATGTTAATTTTCAAGCATGCATATGCATGAGTATAAAAATATTTTTGTCCTAAACCCAAAAACCAAGAATTCCATTTTGCTCATGCAAAACTAAAAAATAAAAAAACAGTGTTTTTGGTTTTCTAGAAGCTTAAAAGAAAGAACAAATTTATGCTATGCATGTTGAGAACATCAATTTCAGTTTCATTCGCACATATAATCAAGTAAATAGGTTCATTAGTATATGATTAAGATTTTTAATTATTGAAAATAGATATCTGAAAAGTTTCAAATTTTCTTGGATATTTATTGTCGAGAAATTTTGAATATCTGAGAAGATTTAAAATTTTTTGAAAATAGATATCCAAAAACTTTTGAGTCTTATAAAAAATTAATATCCAAAAAATTTTAAAACTTATCTAATATTCATTTTTAAGAAGTATGATTTTAGAAAGTGAAGAGAGAAGAAAAGAGAGAGTAAAGTGAAAAATAAAAAGTGAGAGATGAAGTGTATTTAGTAAAAATAAAAAATTAAATTTTAGATTTGAAATGTGGTTAAAAATGAAATATATATAATAATAATATGATGTAAATAAAATTCCCGGTATAAGAAATATACATCCAGCCCCCAAACTTTTGCAAGAACATCGCAAATAAATCCTGCCGTCAACATTCCGTTAGATTTAAAAGTCGAAATGATGATGCCAAGAATATCCCTGATTTATTATGAGCTTAAATATTAGGAAAATAGATATTTAAATAACCATTTTTTTTCTTTTTCTTTCTTCTTTTTCTGGAGACTTTCCCGATTTACCCCTTCATAACTTTCCCTTTTGGTCTAATCCCTTCGTTCAAAGAAGGAGGCCACTAACAACGGCGGCACCTTCAAACAAGCCCTTTTTGTCTTCTTTGACGTTTAATTGAACCAATTAAGGGGTAAGATCCGTTTTTTATTTTCTTAGTTGATTTTAATATTTACTTAGAAATTTCTGTTGTTTGATGTGATTTGATTTTATATTTTTAATTTGTTTTGTTTTGGTTCAATTCATGTGAAAAAATAGGATTTTGTATGATAGGGTTTCCACTTTCCAGGGCTGATGTAGATTTGCTTTTCAAAGATTAAAAAAGAAAAAGACCCAATTCCTTAATGATTAACAAGGAAGAAAAATTCCAAAGCAATTTTACTTTTTTTTTTATTATTTTGTATCAGAATTTCTCTTGGATGCATGGTTTCGAATTGATGTATGGATTTGGAAAATTGAATAATGGGATTTTTTTTCAAAATTTTCAAAGTTTAAATCTTCAATAATGGAATAATGGGATTAGAGATAGAGATAAGGTGAAAAATGCTGCGCAGTGACAAAATTGATGGCTATTCTAAGATCCGTCAAGGTGTGTTTTTGTTTCATAAATGAAGAATGATTTCTTGAAATTCTATTTTTAGCTATTATTGGTTTATAATTTTTTTTTGGCTATCTGAGTTTGACTTGCATTGAAGTATGAATTCTTTTTTTATACCCTTCTCTTCTTGCAATTTGAAAGATGACTCTGCAAGGGTATTTTATAGCCCATTTGCTTCTATGCGGATTATGGCCAAGCCTTGTGTGTATGTAATACTTAATAATCTTCATGCTTCAACGATTAATGATCGTGAAGCATTTACTCAGACATTTAAAAAAGGCTATATATATATATTACGATGTGTATAATGCATACCTCAAGTGATTGTTTGCCTTGTTGTCTGTGCAATAATTTGTTTGTTCTAGTTTCAATGTATGAATTCTGCTTTCTTGGTCATGCAGGACCTTCTAGTTTGGCATCTGTGACAGTAAGATCCGACAATTTGTCTGAACATACTCGCTATGAAGGTCTTAGAATACACTCCACTTAACGAGTAATTTTCTAACATTTTGTAATCGATTGCCTATTTTCCTCTTCCTTTTGAGATTCATGAGACTTGCATTTTCTGCCTTTTTTTTTTGAATTCTGACTCAAGTTGTATTTTATTTTTCTAGAATAAATGATTTCTTAAGTGAATTAAAACTTGGTGAGCGTACCATCAAAGGAAGCCTTGAAGCATACTCTTGTAGGTTCAAGTACATAAGGTGACCCGAATATTTTAGAGATATTTGATTTCAAACCCAGTTTTTATCTTGCTTCCAGGCAAACACACGGGAACAGATAAAAGACTATCTCTCAGTTTGGAGAATGAGGTTTGACAACATTCAACATATCATATGTTTGGTTCCTTCTTTCTTTAGAAGTTTATTACTGGTGGGAACTAGGGTTTTCTGATACTTGTTTCAAATCAGATCCTTGACTATCTTGGGAAATCTTCAGATACTGACTCCTCACCAGTTGAATTTTTGTTGAGCAGATCAAGGTTGTAAATATTACATTCGGTCTAAGATAGTTTGGTTTTCCTTTCATTTCATATTTGTTTGACCAGATTTCTATCATGTAAATGTCAGCCGGAAGACATTGATCTACTTGGTGCTTACCCTCTATCACATGTATCCAGATTATGACTTTAGGTATCTCTGTATCTTGTGTTTCATCAGCACATTTTCATTTCAAAGAGAGTTTAAAAGGAGGATTATGGGTAATGCCACTGTCAGCTTATTGGGCGACTTGACAACCCACTATATAATCCTCTTTTTACTGCACTGAGAGTGTTGTCAAAAGGTTTTGACAGGCAGTTCAACCTACTGTCGCTCTTGGAGGAGCTGAGAGTTCAATTCTCTCCATTTCCCAAATCTAATCCTTCTGGTTATGTGTTTGTTTGTGTCCAATTCAAGTCATTTTTGTGCTATTGAGTGCTTTATACTGACATTCATGTGTGATAATGTACGTGCCTTTGTGGTTTTCAGTGCAGTTAAAGCCCACCAGAGGAAAGCTAGGATACTTTTAAGCAGATTTTCGGTACCTACATGCCTGAAGCGTCAAAGGTATTGGCATAATCAATCATTGGTTTGCCTGAAATTGGCTTTTGGAAGGTTACAAGGCACACTTGTGAGAAAGAATTTGCATATCCTCAAATAACTTACCTTGCAGTTACTATTATTGCACTCCTCACCTATCACGGGTTCCTATGGGTACTTATGTTGGTCATCAATATAGCTGTAGTGGTTTTGTCCAAAATATGTGTATTCATTGGTTGTTTCTTGAGTTTGTTAGAATCATGACACTTTGGGCCTGTGGTGTGTTGTGTGCATGTCATTCCAGATGCTGGTGGTGGTGGTGATTCGTAGTATGGGAGACCAGTGATTGCTAATATTTATTTGATCGTGATATGCCTTATCCTTGAATAAATCACTATGCCTTGCATTTAAGTTTCCTGCTCCGCATCATTGACTGGAATGGGTTGAGACTTATGGGGGCAGTTCACTTCTGGAAACTGTGTACAAGGCTCTAGATGAGGTGAGAGCATAATTTGTAAAAGACTAAATGCAAGTCTCAGCAAGTGGCGATTTGAAAATACCTGGTTATACAGGTTGTGAAACTCTCAGAGTGTGAAATTTACAGTTATAATCCAGACTCTGATGCAGATCCCTTTCTGGAGAAAGGTGCAATGTAAGATTTTGTTAATACTTTAGTGGCTTGTCACTTGCCATAATTGATAATTTTAGCGACTTATTTTTTTCAGATGGTCATTCAGTTTCTTCTTCTACAATAGGAAACTAAAGCGTGTAGTGAGTTTTAACTTTTGCTGTTTAAGGTGGGTCTAAGTGTGTTCCGTGATATTTGTGGTTCTTTACAAGCTTCCATGGTTATGTTTAGGCCTCGCTACCATATGTTGTCTCTGGCAGTAACTTGGTGGCTGATGGTTTTCTTGCTGACAACTTATGTTGCGAGGAAGATAGTGAAATATTTGATAACATGGACATATGATCATGAACGTGGAACATGTGCATACTGCTTGTACATGTATCAAAACCCTTTGACATTGGTCTGTAGTTTGGTTACTGTAGCATCAAACTAGCATAAGCTGAGTACATTAAATTTTCTACTTTGCTGTGTGTACATTCAGTTGGTAGTTTGGCCACATGTAATTGGAGGATAAATAATGATGTCTGTAAGAATATGTGTCAATTTTGAGTGTAGGTTGATTAGTTTGTAGAAGACATTGCTTGGTTCCTTTGTTTGAGGTGATAGTCTGTTGTACCTGTATATGTTTGAACAACAGCTGATTTATGTATATTGTTGGAAGATGTAAGCATGTGCTGAAGTGTTGATGATGGTTAATCAAGTTGCTTAAGCTCTCATGTCAGAAAAAATGACTGAAACCAAAATGATTGCAATTAGTGTGTGATTAAAAAAAATGTCAATTGGCTGAAAAAAAATGCAAATTTAAACTAAATAATTATAGTTGTCAACTAGATATTGGTGGAATTAAAAAGTTACTTTGTTTAAATCCTTCAATTAAGAAGATTTTGTTGCAACCCTTTATGGTAATACTTCAAGGGCGCTTAAATGTCCCATGAATAAATTTGATTTCTTAATTTCTTTTCATTTATATTTATTTATTAAACTTATCAAAAGGTTACAAATAATATTTCAAAATTTGTTAATTAAACATACACATCATATATATATATATATATATATGTGTGTGTGTGTGTGTGTGTAACAAAATTTATGTATATTCTATTCGTTTAAATTTAAAGATGTAAATGAATATAATGTTCAACAAATAATTCGTGAATAGATTCAATTTTTGTTTGTTTATATTTATTTATTTAATTTAAGACACAATCATTAATAATATTTTAAAAATTATTAATTAAATGAATAAATTATAAATATTGTAAATTTTATTTATATTCAGTTCATTTACACCAACTAAAAAGGAATAAAAGAAGTTAAAATAAGGGACAAGGCAAAAAGATTAATTTGGAACACCAATCCAAATGAAAAACCTAGTTAAGCTTGAATCCAACCCCACCTTATATGAGCTCATTTTCTCATTTTGTGAAAACACACTCAAATCAAGAAGTGGGGGAAACAATGTAAATAAGAAATTTAACAATATCCCAGAAATATATAGCTAAACAAGATTCATCCACAATGTATGCCTATGACAGAGTGCCTGAAATATTTACAACAGCCACCTAAACAAAATTCCAGGACAAATTGTAAGTTTTCGACCCGGTACTTTACAGTCTTTCTGTACCGGAGTGCAATATCAGATTTTAGATTATCTGATCCGTAGGCAACTTCCCGGTAACATTTTGTCAACTTATATTCAAAGTAGGTATCTGAAAATTCTTCCACTTTCGGATTGAATATCCAACATGCTACAATTCTTCCACTTGGATTGAAAATCCACACCGACATCGCTTTGTTAGGAGTGAGTTCTCTGCGTCAAAACTCTCATTCTCTATTAAAAATACATGTTCATGCTCTACCTCTTTATACATAGTATCCCCCATATCTCCTTTCTGAAGGCCAGTAGATTGCCTATCACCCTTACTGCTTTCAACCGTTGCATTTATCTCATTATTTTTATCTTGGACATCTCGGGATGGCTGAGATGATGAACCATCTCCATAATAGCTGTTCAACTTTTGTCTGGTTATAATGGACGAGAGAAGTTGATACCATCTTGAGATGGCTTGTGCTTCCTTCCGTTTCTTCTCTTCAGCCACTCTTCTCTCTTCCTCTTCTGCATAAGCCTAGAGAAAAAGGGAACCACAACTTTTCATTCAGGAACTTGAGCCAGATTAGAGACTCAGTTACAATATCTAATAAAATGAGATTACTGTAAAAATACTCTGATATTAGAGAGTAGAAATTGTCAACCCAAAGTTTAGCTCGGTTGGTTCACTCAATCAACCTTAAGAAGTGGCATTTAGCAAGACTGGAGCTCAAATTTCAGCATCTGCAACTCATTTCCCCACCCGGACTATGGCCTCCTTCGTATAAAACAAAAGATTTGCAATCGCAGAAACCTTGATAGAAACTAATTAAAATCGATGTGTAGAGAGTTCAAATATTTTGAACATAATACTCCATTCACCATTATCTGTCTGTCCATTTCTTTTTGTGTGTCTGGCCTAAAGCTTTGAAAAAGAAGGCTGGTTTAAAGATATAACAAGACAAACTATGGCTCAAACCATGTCTATGCTCTTTAACTTGTCTAGTTTTTCTTGCATCATTTTTTCACACCATAAAACAATTATCTTTGTAAAAGATGAGTGCTTGAGGAGTAATAAAATCTAAATTGTAAAGAGCCTCAAAACATGTCACAAACAGGTAAATTAATGCATCTTCAATGTGCAAAAACAGAGGCAAATAGTCTTTATTGTATTCTAAGCTTAAGGACAAATATATTGTACAAAACATAGGAGAGTTCAAGAGAAAAACTAGACTGAATTGAGAGGAACACCGTAAATGCATTCTTCATTTTGTCTAGTTTTCCTTTGGGTCATTTATCCATTCAATTATAATATTTTTTGGGTCAAACAATGGGCAAATTCAAATGGAAATTCACCATTTTATCCAATTTATCTAACCATTTATCTCAATCATTAAGTAAGCTGGATATAGTTACCTCTAATATTGCATCCTTGAACTCTGTACAAACCACAATGCCGTCAAAGACAGGAGCAGCTCGACCATTTCTAAACTCAAAACCAACCATGGCAGGTGCATAATCAATCTCTAACCTCTTGGCAACAGCATATACCCTTGGCAACCTTAAGTGAACAGTCCCCGGCGGAAGGCACTTCTCAGACCACACGTCAACCTGACCACGCTCATTCTAGAATCAAATCAAGAGATCCATTGTCAGAAAAAAAGTAAAGCTTCAAAAAACTAAAGAGGCAGACCAAATGAATTTCTAACACTAATAGGTAGGTGGAATGTCTCAAGTGCAGTGTGCGCTTCCAAAGTAGTTCCAAACAGAACTTGCATGATTGCATCTTTAAACATTGAGATGAAATTGTGGAACACAACTATTTATTTTTCAGAGAGATGTGGGAACAATACTATTTGTCTTGCAGCTATATTGCTAAACTGTTATGATAACTATATCCTCAATTTCCACTAAAAATGAAAAGAAAGGAGGCCAAAATAAATAACAAATAGATCTGAATGGGGGCATAAGATAAAGTAAAAAAAAAAAAAAAAGAAGAAAATGGCGGCAATATTTTCTTGCAAAAACATTTTGTTCATCTACCATAGAAATGAGTCTCCACATTAGAAGTATCCAAGCACGATAGGAGAACAACACTCACAGAAATAAGCATAAAGAATAGCAACAAATTATTCATTGGTTAGAGGAAAACAAATGATTAAGTTATAGGTTTATTCACATAAGACCTTCCAGAATGGCATCCACAAGAAAGCAACAGCAATCACCTTTGGCAAAATTCCATCAACTGCATGAGGGAGACACAATGGCTCCAGCTGCCACTTCCCATAAAGTTCAATAGTTCCTTTAGAATCATTCTCATCATAATCATCTTCTTCAGAAACTTGAACTTTTTTTAATTTTGCAGAACGTTTCAAAACCTGAGAAAATTAGTTGTGAATTGAGATTTATTCAGATTAACTGAAATGATAAAATTAACCTATCACAAAACTAATGCAGACGCTATTACAGCCATGGGTTGTCTATTAGATAAGGCAGACCTTTGCAGGAATCTCATTGCCTTTAACCTGCAGTCCTTCACGCAGCCATCTTTCTCTTGCCTTGAGAGTTTGCACACAAGTGCGAGGATAAACTGGATGACCAGAGCAGTAACCAAGAATAGGACCTCTTGGATTTAGTATCTGATACTTCGTAAGCCATCTTTCAAGTGCATATAATGCATGATTTTTATAGGCCTATGAACACAGACAAAAATTTAAAAACAAAGTCTAGGTTAGCAACTTCTAAGAATAGTGTTGACTGGACCAATCAATCACCATACCTGCTGATTAGTGGGAAGAGGCTCAGTTAGTGCCCTAGTTTCAAGTTCCATATCTTCAAGAGAGTTCCTGGTAGCAACAAATGAATCCTTTAAAGAAGATTCAACTTCGATCTTACTCCCATACTCTTTGGAAGCTTCTTGGCCTGACTTCTTAGGTAAGATAACATGGTTTGAAGGACTATCTGCACCTGGATATTCAGACATTCTAGATACTTTGATTTTCTCCTGCTCATTTGAGGCATTATCATGGAGCTTGTCAAAATTAATCACACCCCCAGTTGCTCCTGACTCTAACTCCCTCAAAGGTGCCAATACTGAATCCCACCAAACTGAATTAACTCTTTTTGGTGCTATTTTGTACCACTTCACGCAATACCTGTACCATAAGCATATTAGCAAAGGTAATAACATAAACTCTCAAGCATCTGAGATCCTCTTTAGGGTTGACCAATTGGAAGGTAAGAAAAAGCACATGAGAGCCTTGCTATTAATTCCCAATCTTATCCTGACACAAACGTTTGCATAAGTGTATAAATCTCCAAGAAAATACATCTACTTCATAAAGAGAAAGGTCCATTGGGAGCTGACTTAAACCATTAAAAGCAAAGTGTCAGAAGGTCAATTTGATGAAAATATCATACTGAGAACAATATAAAATGCAAGAAAGAAAATATATGAACATATTAAAAGCAGGTAGGAAAGGGGGTGTGTGCATGTTCATGTGTGATAAAAACCATAACATGAAAATAATACAAGAATTAAATAGATGAAAATTCAAAAGTGGGTATCAGAATATATATATATATATATATATATATATATAATACTGTAAGTGATTACCAAAATATGGTTCTCTTAAAATGTGACTTATGCATCCTGATGTTAAAAAACAAACAGATGTAATCAGGAAGGAATCAAAACCTGCGGGTCACATCTTTAGCCCCACGACCTGCAAAAGCAACTACGTATCTCAATGATGTTTTGCATGCAGCAGCTGCATCTTCTACTTTCTGCTCTCCATCTATAATTGCATTCACAACATCAACATGCACCCACTTCCCAGTCAAGTTCTCCCCACCACAGTACACTTCTGCCCAAAACAATGGAGAACCTATTTTTCTTGATCCAAGTGCAGTAGAAAGTTCTGGGGAGCAAGTCGAAGATTCTACTCTTTCGATCCTTTTCCATCTTTTTGTAGGAGTAGATGCTTCTAATGAATTATTACCATTTAAAATTTTCAAATCCGATGACCCAGAAATGTTCTCATGAGTCCCAACAGTAGTAGCAGAAATAGCCATTGCCAACTGCATTTCAAACTCAAGATCCCCTTTCCTCCTCAACCCCTGAGATTTTGTAGGACGGCATTGTCCAGATGTATCTGACTGCACCTGACAGGTTGATGTTGCATCAGTCAATTCATTAGCAGCAGTAGAATATCTGGATTGAGTGTCACTGCATGTTGAGCAGCCACCCTTATTTTTGTGTGAACTCCTCAAAGAATTTTCACTATGATCAGCTTTCTCATGGCATGAGGATGATTTAACATGGGATGAAGGGATAGAAATTTCTTTTGGATTAGCCACCATCAGAGTTGAAGTACTGAATATCCCTCCACCCACTCTTTTTGCCTCTTGGCTCGAAGATTCGTATTTATCAGCCTCAGGTTTTACGGAGGCAACATCCAAAATGGACACAAACCTGAAAAGAGGGTATATGACTAAAATGAGAAAGAGAATTGTTTTACCAACCAACTTTACAAAGACTGCACAACAACAGAGAAATAATCAACCCCATTCAAGAACAAAGAGAAGGCATTTGAGCTTCATAAAACAACAAAAAGAAAATACAAAGGGGAAGGTGGCAGGGGCAAAACTAGCTAAAACCCTAATGGCATAAAGAAAACTGCAATATGAGAGAGGTCTATAGCTCATAAAAGATTATTATTACACTAGGCCAACAACCTTGTGGTTTGTTGGTAGACTATTGGACTCTTAGTTCCAGTGATCAGGGATCAAACCCTGGCAACCTTAAATATAAAAAAATATATCATATTAGTGCTTGGCATATTATAAACTTCAATGGAAGAAAAGTATGCTTAAAATGGATAAAAAAAAATGAATTTAGAAGTGAATTGAGTAAATCAGGCACTCACCCACATTCCCCCTCAAAAAAAAAAAAAAAAAGTGAAATGAAACAAAACAAGGAGCACCAAAAATATAAAGTATGGGAATCATTTTGTGGCTTTAGAAAGTTAACTAATTCAAAGACTCTTTATCCTCATAGCACATAGAACTTCACATAAAATCTCAGAAAAGAATGTTCTGCCTGAAAATTAAATTCCTGCATCTTCCCTGTTGCCACAAGTCATTTTATGAAAATATGGAGAATGTGCATTGGTTGTTGTATCTCACGCTCACTAAGATATAAGTAAAGATGTTCCATTGTCAAAAGATCTATAATGCTTGAGCAGATTAAACAGAGGTTTGGGCTTGTAAATATAGCTTGTTTATAAAAATGAAGAAATGTTACAGTTCTTCTATTTCCTTCTTCTTCTCAAAAGTAAGAAACAGATACAAAAGAGCACTGATGAATGAACCAAAACCCCACAAGGAATAGAGAGAGAAGAAAGAAAAAAATCTCAACCACAAAACATTATGATTACCTGAGCCCTAGATCAATTAGTCATATATTTCAACATTCTGATCACCCAAGCCCTAAATCAATTAATTACATATTTCATTTGATATGGTCAAAAGGAGTCCGAATTCTCTTGTTCCGGTCATCCATTGTTCACTCCTATCCTCTTTAATTCAATACAGATTCCTTGAATCGCAATGTTTATTACATAAAACACTCAAAGAAATAAGAAATTTCATACAAAGTCATGATCCTTTTAATCCATGTAAAAGATACAAACTTTTGAAGCAGAGGATCCATCCAGACAAGCTTCCATGTATGTACATGATTAAAAACAAGGCCATAAACAATAAAACTTCTGATATTGATTATATGGGAACAAAAATTAAAGTTCATACAACAATATTTGGAATATTAGATAGTAAAAAGAAGACCTTTTTATTTAAGGCAGATCACCATCAAGTGAAGCTTAATATGATTTAAAGTATAAAATTCCCTACTTTTTCAACCTATTAACAAGGTACGCATCCATACAAAATGGTTATGCATGCCTTGATAAAAATAAGAAACAAAGAAAGAAGAACTTTTTACTTAAGGTAGAACATCATCAAGAAGTCAAGTTTTCAAAGAAATTATTAAAAAAAAACTACATAAATTGCTCAGGTGCACTATTAGCAACCAGAAAAAGACAACACTCTTAGTTTTATAGTGGAATCATACCGTGCTGTAAACTTCAAAGCTCTAAATAATGCCACAGACAATGCTGCAATCTGCAAGAAATGACCTGTCAATACTCATAAATTTAGCTGTTATATGATATACTTACGTGACATGTAGCACAGAGATTTATCATTAATTAACCGATATTAATATTTCCAGAAACAGAGTGGATCACACCAGCCAATTCTGTTCCATCATACATAAGTGAACTACACGCTGAAATTCATACCAGGTTTTGTTAGCATGCCAGCATCCAACACAGTACTTTCTAGCAGAAAAGGACAAAAAAACACTAACATTCAACAGAGCAAAAAATATTCCCATATAAATAACTTTTTTAGCCTACACCCTGTTACCTACAATGAAAAATAAAAAGAAAAAAAAGAAATTCAACCCATGGTCATCTCTCAGATTATAGTACAAGATACACTGAAACTACCTCTTCTGAAGTCCCTTCACGAGTTTCGAGAGCAAAGGCCAAAGCATTAGGAAATGATCTTTCTGCCCGAACCAAGCTTCTTACATGAAAATTATTATGGAACTGCAAGTTTTATGCCAGTTTCAGAAAGATAAATAGCTAATTAAATAATGTAAGTAATATCTAGACAGCTCAAAATATACATACCCAAGTGACAAGAGGAGACAGAGCATTTGCAGTGACATTTGAGACCTCTGATATCTTCGATAAGTGTATAGGTAGAAGAGAAAGTAAAGAAGCCTGTCAAGGAAATCAGATTCTTTTAGAAATAAGAATCTGTATTGAACAATTGTCCTGGGGCATATAAAGAAAATCAACCTGAATAAGAGGATCATCACAAGCATTGTCAATTAATCTGCCCCTGGCCACTAAACAAAGCAAATGAACTTTATGCACAAGCTCAGCCAATTCCTGTTCCGAAAAGAAGAAACCTTTTGAGTTCAAAAGATGAAACTGCAAAGATTTGTCATCAAATAAAAGCTATGTCAAGTATTGTTACAAGAAATTCACCTTATCTTCAGCAGAAGCTCGATGAACAGGCTTCCGTCCAGCTGAACCAGATGGTTCATCAAATTCAATAGTTAACCCCTTCACATGCTCAGTTGGGGAATGGTCTACAGGATCCAATTTGGGAATTGAACCATCTTCCCAATCTGAGTCATTCATGTCTTCACTATCATCAAAAAGAGTATCTTGATGATTTTCAACATCTACTTCTAATCGAGAAGTTCCAACTGCATCTCTAATACAATCTTCAGCCATTGAAGCATTCTCTGCAACCATTGTATGTACAATTTCTTGTTCATTTGTTTTTGGGTCATTCTGCCGGACATTTTCATTCTTTTCCTTTTTCCTTGAAGAGTAACGTCTATTAGCAGGTCTTAGAACTTTGTTCACCCCCTCATGTGATATCCCAGTCAGATTTCCTATATCCAAAGACTCTTATTTTAGTTTTCACCAAGTCTGTGACAAAAAACTTAAGTTAACAAATGATCAAAAACCATACAAAATTCAACAAACCAGTATCATGAATTGACCCCAAAGGACTTCCATTTTCTGATTCACATGTAGTTTTCATCCTTTTATGCTTCCCTGCTAAAAATTAGAATAAAACTCACTATAAATGTATAAAATGATAAAACTTATTAAGCTCAAAATTTTAATTTCCCATATTTTTTGTTGACAAATTAATCATCTGGCAGCAGAAATAAACAGAGGTAATAAATAAACAATTAAAAAAACTCAGATTTTCATATTACAAAGTTCAAGTTTTTCTTTTCCAATTAAAATGAGAATTACCATAAGCATTTCAATACATCCAAATTCTCTACCTTTCCTACAAAATAGTACAATTCCAATAAAATTACAATTTAATGTAATTTACCTTCCCCAAAAAAAAAAAAAAAAACACTTTCCAACCAGTTATCCCCTTAAAAGCAAAAACCCATTTTGCATCTCTCTTTGTATAATACCATACAATATTTATAACAACTAAGGATGTGTTTTTTTCTTTCCTTTTTTTTTTTTTTTGGGAAAATTAACAAATACCCAAATAAAAGAACATGAAAAAGTTTGAAACTTTGATATGAAATAAGAGCGAAAAGAAATGTTTACCTGAAGATTGGGTTTGGCTTTTAGACTTATCTCTGTTTCTCTTTTTTTTTTCATTTGAGGGAAAAAAAAAGAAAAGAAAAGAAGAAAAGAAAGAGAAAGAAAAGAGTGCCGCGAAAAACTGTTGAAAGGGTTTTGTTTGGGGATTTCAGTGATAAGCTACGCGCAGGTGCATGGACTACACTTTATTGACGCAAGAAGAAAGTGTTTTTCATTTATTTTTTCAGTTAAAAATTTGATGAAAACCTTTTTTATGAAAAAAATAACTATTTGAAGATCACTAATTACAATGAAAAAGTGAGATTTAAATAATTTCAAGTTGCAATGTTTTCTATTGTATAAATTAATAAGAAAATTCAAAATTATTTTATCTTTCTAGACATTGAAAATTTTAATTTGCATTCATAAAATTTGCTCATTTCAGCCACCTTACTAATTACATCAAAATTTTAAACAAATAAAAATTGTTTAATATAATCAAATAAATATTTTTTGCAGTTCCACTATGCTTTCGCAGTCAAAATCACACAACCACGCTTGAAAGAAAAATCCTAACAGCTCTCGAGAGCGGACGACATCGAGGATGCTCATGCTCCCAAAAAGGAAAAGGTGGGTACACATAAAATAATTGAAGTATTTCTTTTTAATTTGTGTTTTGAATATTAAATTCCATTTAAATTAAATAAAAAAATCTAGTTAAATCACGTGATTGTGTTAATGTAAATCTAATAATAATATTTAATACCTCTAGAGAGAGTTCCGTTGACAATGAATTATTTTAAAATGTATGATGTAAAAAAAAGTCGATGCGTAGGGACTATTTAAAAATGTATTTCCATTCTCATGATGTAAAGGAAACAGTGTTTATGCATGCGGACTTGTAATTAAAAAAAATAATAATTGCATATTCTTTTAATCAGAACTTTACCGGAAGTGTATATCAATCTGTTCTTAAATTTGTCGCGATGGTTCTAAGTAATTTTTTTTATGGATAACAAAATAATTCCATTATAAATGTAATTCTGTAATAAAAAAAATTATAAAAGTTTAATTGCAAACTGAACAGATGGATCTTGACCTGTTTTATTTTATTTCTCTTCAATTTTCTGGTCTTACACAAGATTTCGTCTTAAAATATCTTAGAACTTATATCTATTAGAAATATTTTTCTCCAAATCTGGCAAATATGAGAATTTTAGTCCAATCCAACTTTTTTTTTTTTTGTACTTTTTCCAGGAATAGTTCCAAGGACTGATTGCATTAAGACCGATTCTGGTCTGAGTATAACCCACCATGCCCTTCACAAACCTAAACAACCAGCCATGGAAAACGCAGGATTCAGTACTTGAAAGAAATGCCTGAGAAAATCAAGAGAAGGGTAGGAGTTGTAGCAACAATAGCTCTTCACTATTGATAAAGGAACTTGACCTAAGAACGGTAGCAGCAGAGCAGACACTTGAGGAAGCAAAAATAGGGTTCAAAAGCTTTTTATTGCGAGTGAAAGATTTGATTGAATCAAAGTCTTGGAGTGAAGCTCAGACTTCACATGTGTTTAGGCTCTCAATGAGAAACTATAAACCGGATGTGTCATCTTGATCGTTCTTCTGCCATTAGTGCAAAATTCCAGCAAATGAACGACATATACTCTAGACAGCAAAGATATAGGGATGGAAATGCTTCAGCAAACAGATTCAAGTTGGAGGCATGCAGGATTGTAACTTTCTGAGCTTTCTTCAACTATTACATTTGCATGGCAATGCAAATTCTTGGGTATCATGTTAATCATCCCCTTAACTTGTAAGTCAAATAAACTGTATTTTAAATTGCAATCAGAAAGATACACGCACCACCAAGACAACCTTATTGCCAGAGTTGATTAAATTACTTACAAGATTGCTTGTGAAAAAGGGCAACCAGTTAATAGTCTTTCAAGTCATTTTCCGTAAGTTATTCAATCAAAGCTGATCTATAAAGCATATACTGCAGGCATTGCCTCTATCTCAACGTGCAGTGTCAATGATCGAAGAGAGAAACATGAGGGGAACACTAACTTGCTTATAAAGGACACCATTTACAGTTATTTTCAGTATAAGCCCAGTTGTGAAAGTAAGCATTCAACTTCAAATAAAGGCTACAGCTAATGAAACATCTAGATTAAAGTAAAGGGTGAACATTTGGAAGAAATGAACGGTAATGCTCATTTTCATACTAAAATCAAAACTCTGAAACTCAGAACAAGTGATTGAGTATCAATGCTCAGTCTTGGACTTGAATACGCCATACCTGATAACCTCAACTATCTGAATAAATTGAGCACAATATGCTCCAGAAGCAGTACCTTCAATGAACTACCAAAATCAAGGTGAACCTGTAACTCCAGGGAAGAGTTCTGATATTTTGTTGAGCACATCAATAACCTGAAACGCAAAAACAAATGTTGTGAAACAAATTATCAACAATAAGACGTACCAAGAAATCAAGTTTGAAGATAATATCTGCTCTGGTCAAGAGCCAGAAAATGGCAGGAAAGTACAATGATATGATGTGTCACAGATAGAATCTTAATCTTGCATTTGTCAAAAGCTCATTGAAATAGCAAAATCACAGCCATATATACATTTGCATGTAGACATGTATGTCTACACAATTATGTCATGTTAGAATTAAAGCCCATACACAAGCATACACTAACACTCCCCCTCAAGCTGGAGCATATATATCAGTCATGCTCAGCTTGCCACATATATAGTCAACTTGAACACCTGGAAGTGAATTCGTAAGAATATCGGCTAGTTGTTCCCCTGCGTGCACATGCTTCAATAATATTGTTCCACTCTGCAACTTTTCCCTAATGAAATCACAATCAACTTCTATATGCTTGGTTCTTTCATGAAATACTGGATTGGAAGCAATATGAATCGTGGCCTGATTATCAGACCATAACTTTGTAGAGGTCCGAACTGAAAGCCCAATTTCATCTAAGAATTAAATCATCTATAATACCTCTGTTGTAACCAAAGCCATGGCTCTATACTTTGCTTCTGTGCTAGACCTAGCAACTACTTGCCGCTTCTTGCTCTTCCAAGACACCAGATTACTTCCAAGGAAGATAGCATAACCAGATGTAGACTTCCTATCTATAGGAGAGCCTGCCCAATCTGCATCTGCATAGGCTCAAATACCGCTATCACCGGTAGAACTGTAAAGTATTGCTTTTCCAAGATTTCTCAACAAATATCAAAGGATGCGCATCGCTGCTCTGAGGTGAGTATCTTTGGGAGCTGCCATGAATTGAGTTACACACTGAAAAAGATATATCAAGTCTCGTCATGGTGAAGTAATTCAGTTTTCACACTAGTCTCCTGTAAGGTGTGGGATCATCAAGTAAAGGGCCATCTTCTGGAGAAAGCTTGATACCTAGATCCATCGATGTGTCACTTGGCTTGGCATGGAACAAGCCTGCATCTCTCAAAATATCCAACACATACTTCCTCTGAGATACAAAGATTCCCTTTTTACATCTTGCCACTTCAATATCCACAAATATTTCAATTAACCAAGATCCTTGGTCTCAAACTGGGACATAAGATACATCTTCAGTCAGTCAATCCCTACACTATCATTGCCAGTGATGATGATATCATCTACATACACTCCCAACAATATAAGGCCAGAACTCTGCCGTATATTAAAATACTGAATGATCCTTCTCACTCTGTTGCATGCCATACTGAACAAGAGCTGCACTAAATTTGCTGAGCCATGCACATGGAAATTGCTTCAGACCATACAAAGACCTACGCAAACAGCACACCTTTCCAGACTCCCCCTGAGCAACAAACCTCGATGGTTGCTCCATATATACCTCCTTAGTCAAGCCACCATGTAGGAAAGCAATCTTCACATCCAACTGATGTAATGCCCATTTATGTATAGCAACAAAACTGAGAAATAGGCGAATAGATGTCATCCTTGCCACTGGTGAAAAGGTATCAAAATAATTTACTCCATATGTCCGCGAGTATCCCTTTGCTACTAGTCTTGCCTTCAATCTAGCCAATGAACCATCGAGATTCAATTTTGTAGTATAAACCCACTTGCACCCAGTAGCTTGCTTTCCTTCTGGTAGGGAAACCAAGTCCCATGTATGGTTGGCCTCTAGGGCCATCATCTTATCCTCCATAGCGTTACGCCATCCTAAATCCACAAAAGCATCACGAAGAGTATGCGGCACAGTAATAGCATCAATTGTAACAATACAACTCTGAAGTTGAGCAGAAAGTCCTTTGTACGAGGGCATGTATAAAGGAAAATTTCTGCAAGTTCACATACCTTTCCACAGAGAAATCGGTACATCTTCAGACATGGTATCTCAAGGTGGATCCATTGACAGAAAGACTGTCTCAATAAGGGAAGTTTCCGTAGGCGAATCTACACAGCTCTTACTAGTGTACGTATGACCAAATCAAGTATTTGGGCATGCCTCAGAAGGAGATGCTTTGACTGGTGTACTATGTATCTAATAGATGAGAAAATTTTCTTCTTTTGATATGATAGGTGATGGATGAGATTGTAATACTAAAGGAAAAGGAACTGACTCATGAAACATGACATTTGCCAAAATAATAAAATGACCTAGGTCTGGAGAGTAGCATCGATACCCTTTTTGGACATGTGAATAACCTAGGAAGATACACTTAACAGCATGTATGTCTAATTTAGTGCGACCTGAACAAGTGTCACGAACAAAACATGTGCATCTAAACACCTTGAGGGAGATTGGAAATAACACAATACTTGAAAAGGAACTTTTCCTTCAAGAACCAAGGACAGCAAATGATTTACAAGATAGCATGCTGTGAGGACAGCTTCACTCCTAACCACCTTAGGGACCTTTATTTGAAACAAAAGAGCTCTAGCCACTTCCAACAAATGACGATTCTTCCTTTCAGCAACCCCATTTTACTATGGGATATCTATACACGAGGACCGATGAACAATACCTTTTGCATTTAGGAATTGAAAAAACTCTATAAAAAAATACTCACCCCAATTATCACTCCGTAAAATTGATAGACTTACTGAATTGATTCTCTATTTCTACGTGAAAGTCAGCAAAGACAAATAATAATTCAGAGTGGCTTCGCAACAAATACAACCAACAAATTAGTGAACAATCAACAACAACTGTCACAAAGTATCTATAACCAGATTTTGAAATAATAGGACAAGGCCCCCAT